TTTCAGATTTAGTGGAATTAAAAAAATTGTTTTTTGAAGCAAACATTGGCAAAACATTACTTATTAGTACATCAACCACAGCACAATCCTAGGAATCCCAGTGAAGACTGATCTTCCAGAATCTTGGAAAAATAGTCCGTTTTCACTCTGCCGCACTGCGTTTTGGCTGCAGTGCAGGTGCTGCTTAGTGCGCCTGTGGTATTTATGTTGGTTACCCATGGTTATACAAAGGATTCGATTATATCCTGTGTTTTTGGAGCATTTTCTGCTAGCTCAACAAAAATCCTGCTCAAATTACTGTTACAAAAAAAAATTGTGTATTTAAAAATAAAAAACCTTTTTTGTATACTTTGTAATTAATATAAGAAGGACATTCAAGTCAGTTTGAATTTTTTATGATAAAAGAACAAATATCAAGGAGTGGAAACAGCATTTATTTTTCTATATAATCCCCTGCTACATTTATACACTTATCCCAACATTTAACTAATGCCTGGAAACCTTCGGTATAGAAAGATTTGTCAGAACACCTATACCATCCTAGGACAGCCTGCTTCACTTTGTCATCAGTGCTGAAATGCTGAATTTCGAGGAACTCTTTTAGGGGTCCAAACAGGTGGAAATCACTCGAAGTGAGGTCCGGCTGTAAGGGAGATGTGGCAATACCTCCCAGCCGAACTGCTGTAATGTGTATGTACTGCAACGAGCAGTATGAGCTTGTGCGTTGTCCTGGAGAAAACAGGATGCGCTTAGTGATCAAACCAGGTCATTTTTTCTGCAGGCGCATATGAACATCACAGAACATGACCGTAATATTCACTGTTGATAGTGGCACCACAGGATAGAAAATCCACATGAATAACACCACGTTTGTCCCAGAAAATACTTGCCATTGCTTTACCTGCAGACGCAATTGTTCAAAATGTTTTTGCTGGTGGTGAGTCTGCACGCTTCCACTGCTTTGATGGTCATTTTGATTCTGGAGTGAAATTATATGCTCAGGTTTTGTCACATGTAATGATGCAATTCAGAAAATTCTGGCCTTCCCTGTCAAAATGTTCCTTCAGTGCAGTGCAGACTTCAACTCTTCTGTGCAAGTCAAAAGTGGAAAGCTGTCCTGGTAACCAGCTTGTGCTAATGCAAATGTTCGTGAATGATTGGGATTCATCGTTCCCACAGAAAGATTCATCTCTTGTGCAATTTCATGACAGGTTATGCATTGATTATCCAGGATCCGGCATTCCACACGTTGAAAGTTGACAGGAATGACTGCTGTGAGCTGGGAACAACCATGTCCGGGATCGTCAATGACAGATGTACGGCCATCTTTAAAATGTTTACACCATTCAAGTGTCTTACTGTGGCTGAGCGTCTCATCACCATACTGTGCTTGAAGTCTTCCGTAGATATCCGCAGGTTTTACGCATTTGTACACAATAAACTTCATCACCACACAATGTTGCACGCACATACTAACACATGTCTGCCATCTTGGTTACCGATCTCTGGAATGGTCCGCAACATGTGCGCCGCCTATCAGTTAAAGGATACACTTGCTACTGCATGTAGTACTGCCATGCTAGCAACCCTTTTTAAACCTGTGAAATTAAAAGTCCCAGTTTGACTTAAATGTCCCTTTTATTTATATAAATTATATATATATATATATATATATATATATACACTATATTGCCAAAAGTATTGGGATGCCTGCCTTTACACGCACATGGACTTTAACGGCATCCCAGTCTTAGTCTGTAGGGTTCAATATTGAGTTGGCCCTGCCCTTTGCAGCTATAAGAGCTTCAACTCTTCTGGGAAGGCTGTCCACAAGGTTTAGGAGTGTGTCTATGGGAATGTTTGACTAGTGTTGGGCTCTATGTTTCGAGTTGAACCTGACAGTGCATTGTGATTGGTCAAAGCAATGTAGCTGACTACAGAATCCCCGCTGACAGCTGAAACATGAATAAATGTTTCACTACTAAAATACCGCATGACTTAATATAATAACTCGTGCAGTATTTTAGTGACTGAGCAGTATCTTACCGCATACTCAGATGATACCACTCAGTAAATTGTTTATGTTCGAAGTTCGTGGTCGAACATTCTGTAGAATCAAATGTTCAACCAAGAACTGAACAGGGGGTGCTCGGCTCATCACTATGTTTGACTATTCTTCCAGAAGCACATTTGAGAGGTCAGGCACTGATGTCAGACAAGAAGGCCTGGCTCGCAGTCTCCGCTCTAATTCATCCCAAAGGTGTTCTACTGGGTTGAGATCAGGGCTCTGTGCAGGCCAGTCAAGTTCCTCCACCCCAAACACGCTCATCCGTGTCTTTATGAACCTTGCGTTGTGCACTGGTGCGCAATCATGTTGGAACAGGAATGGGCCATCTCCAAACTGTTCCCACAAAGTTGGGAGTATGAAATTGTCCAAAATGTCTTGGTATGCTGATGCCTTAAGAGTTCCCTTCACAGGAACTAAGGAGCCAAGCCCAATCCCTGAAAAACAACCCCACACCATAATCCCACCTCCACCAAACTTTACACTTGACACAATGCAGTCAGGCAAGTACCGTTCAAACGGACGTATTTAAACAGACGGCGGCAGCGGCAGGTCACCCTTTGACAACGTGCCATTGCATGAAACGATCAGGGGACCAGCCTGCCTTGTCGACGCCAATCCTAGCTGCTGGGGCCATGTGTTTGGCCAGCAGCCATCTTGAAATTTGGATAATTTTTCTTCATGCATGAGATGTATCCACCATATCTGACACACTAATAGCTACTTGCTACCTGCTATGATTTGTGTATATATGCTATTTGCATTCACTGACTGTAGCTGTTGCCACCTGCTGCTACATGGTTGTTAACACACCTGTTACTTCAATATGTGATTTCCATCATTGGGCTGAATAAACTACTACACTATATCAGCTTTTTTGTCCGGGTGGCTTTTTTTTAACTACTTAAGGTGGATCTCCCATTGTTGCCGGGTGTAAGTAAAACCTGCAAGCAGTTTCCACCATCGGAGAGGGTCAGCTGAAAGGTCTGGAGTATTGTCCCTGGGTATACCAAGCACCATCGGAGTGCCACATTCCAACCAGGTTCCAGATGACCACTAGTGTCCCTTATACTACATGCATAAAATCATTTTACGTCTGGTGAGTGCAAGCACACCCCTTTCTTTCTCATCACGGAAGTCATGTGCACCTTATGATTATACGATGGAAGTTTAACTTGATTGTTTAACATCTTCCTTATTTGGGAAAGCTGACGCACCTTTTGAATGATTTTATGGACCTTTATCAATCTTTTTATCATTATATGACATTTAATGCATTCATATGATATTGCTGTCACTTTATAAATTATATTTGCTGTCTTCATTAAGACATCACTGCTGTATCACTGGCTAGCGCACTATTTTGCGCAATCATCACCTATATTTCACTATAATTATTTATTTTAGTGCTGCATTTTGATTATATTATAAGGCAAGTACCGTTATCCTGGTAACCGCCAAACCCAGACACATCCATCGAATTGCCAGATAAAGAAGCATGATTTATCAGTCCAGAGAACACGTCTCCACTGATCTAGAGTCCAGTGGCAGCGTGCTTTACACCACTGCATCTGACATTTTGTATTGCACTTGGTGATGTAAGGCTTGGATGCATCTGCTCGGCCATGAAAACCCATTCCATGAAGCTCTCTGCACACTGTTGTTGTGCTAATCTGAAGGCCAGACCAAGTTTGGAGGTCTATAGCTATTGACTCTGCAGACAGTTGTCAACTTCTATGCACTGTGCATTTCAGCATGCGCTTACCCCACTCTGTCATTTTACGTGGCCTACCAGTTCGTGGTTGAATTGCTGCTGTTGTTCCCAGTTGCTTCCATGTTGTTCCAATACCACTAAGAGTTGACCGTGGAATATTTAGTAGCAAGGAAATTTCACAGATGGACTTATTGCACAGGTGGCAAGCTATCACGGTACTACGCTTGAATTCACTGAGCTCCTGAGAGCGACCCATTCTTTCACAAATGTTTTTAGAAGCAGTCTGCATGCCTAGATGCTTGATATTATATGCCTGTGGCCATGGAGGTGATTGGAACACCTGAATCCAATGATTTGGGGGGGTGTCCTAATACTTTTGGCAATATAGTTTATATATATATATTTATATATATATCACAAATGCAGTTCTGGAAGAATGGTCAAACATTCCCATACACACTCTCCTAAACGTTGTGGACAGCCTTCCCAAAAGAGTTGAAACTGTTATAGCTGCCAAGGATGGGCCACCTTCATATTGAACCCTACGGACTAAGAATGGGATACCATTAAAGTGCATGTGCGTGTAAAGGCAGGTGTCCCAATACTTTTGGCAATATAGTATATATATATATATGAATACATATATTTACATAGGGGTTTCCATATTTGCTAATTACTTCATCTGGCCCATCTCTTGTGCTTTCCCGATCCTTTTATCTCACTGCAAATATTTCAAACAAAGTATACCTGGTTGAAAAGAACAGACCCTCTGCAATCTATAATGAACTAAACTGGTAGGCAGAGAATATGCGATCTTTGCCTAGGCTTTAAGTAACAAAAAGGATATTTAGAAGCAGAGGTTTTTTATATAGGACAAGCAAGAGGTGGATTTTTATACATTTTATTTAGTTATATGATAGCAGCCTATTACTTCATAGATAAAGCCTTTTTTTGTTAATTTACATTTCCTGCCTAGAGCGTGGGGAAAAGTTAAGACTCTTGTCAGTTTTTTCCCACTTGAGAGATTTCCCTTTATTTCTCCAAAATCCTTCCAAAGCGAGGGAGTTGTTCTCTGAGACAGTGTCCCCATTGGAAGTTTTCCCCTCTATTCCTGTATTACTGATAATTCAAAATTTGGGATTTTACCTCACTTTCAGTACCAGTGACAGAGTCTCCAGGACACATAGAGAAGTTAAATTGCACTGTCTGGAATACTTACAGCCAGGGGTGTACTGACCATTTGGAAACTCGGGCACTGCCCGAGGGCCCTGGGTCAGTAGGGGGCCCCATGAGATGCCCCTGGTACCTTTTTCATAGACTTTTTTGAGTTTGGGCAAGGACACAGGGGCCCCATGATCCCCTATTGCCTGGGGGCCCCATGAGTTGTCAGTCCACCCCTGCTTACAGCAATGAAGACCTGACAAGGGCTTTAACCCCTCACTACACTATCCAAAACGTTTTGGCTTTAGATACACAAATCTCAATTTCATTGATAGATCTTCATCTATGACAGTGAAGCTGGCCTTGTCAACTCAGGTCGTTATTTATAAGAAATAGTATGCCCTTAGAAGTAATTGCTCCATACTCTTTCCCCATCCTCTTGTAGCAGATTTTCTCTGACAAACCTTTTACTTTTTCTTCTTTCCTTTTCCAAATCTTTAAAACATTTTTCCCCCACATATTTAACTTGCCATACTTTCTCCCATCAGTTTTTAATTTGTGTCTATTTTCCTTTTGCGACCTCCAAGTCCTCTTCAGGCAGTTTGACTCAAAGCAGTTTTTCTTATATTTGCTGTCTTATATAAACCATTAAATTCCAATGTATCTTCCTGTGTCTTCCTTTTTGTCTGAGCAATGCACCCTGTCTTTACACCACAATGATAAATCAGTTTTGTTGGATCATTAGGGAGGTTTTGCTATGATCTGCAGACACATGTGCTAACATTTTACACTGGGAAACTTGCATACTGTACTCACTCGTTATATGTACCATTTCAGTTCTTACAGGATAAGAAGAAAATGTCTGTACTGGAGAAAATATTTACCCTGAGGATATAGAACTGATAAATCTTCTTCACTGGTATGAGAGAACATTTGTTCTCTCAAACTGGTTGTTGCTACCATTACTGCATATTTGCCCAGTGGGTCCTAGAGAGCTTATCTTGGGCTGTGGTCACCTTAATTTGGTCTACTTCATCTCTCTGAAGATATTTAAGGACTCTGTTTGGAGATTATACACTAATTTCTTTGTTCCCAATTATCCGGAGTCTTTATTTTGCTATCTTCATGGCAAGCAACACATGGTAGGGAGTTCCATTGGACATTCTTTATCCTTGGACGAGGAGGCACCTGATGTAGAGACATACAACATATGGACCTTTGTTTTTATTAGAGAATGCTGACTATGCACAAACTTCATACCCTCTATATATTTAGTACTCTATCCCCTGAAGAGCTAATTTGAAACATGTTGGGTTATCCACATGGCTGCTATTATTGGTTGTACAAGATCTGTTGTTATTCTCAAGGTCATGTGGAATATAGAGTGGTGAAATTAATACAATCATATGAAGGTTTAATACTTTTTGTCAAACTTTGTACATTTTTATGCAAATACAGTATGTTTTATTGAATATTGTTGAATAAACTTTGCTGGTTTTATTAAAATGCCATTACTTTATATGGATACAGGCTCATTTTTGAGTGTTCCCTTAAAGTCTCTCTTACAATTTATGTTTGTTATTTTCATGCTTTAATGAGATGATGGCACACCATATTAATGAATGATCCTTTGATCATTTGGTCTTCCTACTTGACATTCTCAGCAGATTCATAGGGGCTGAAATTCTGCTGACTTCCACCATCAAATCATGTGTAAAAAATAATGCTGTCTTTTTTGATGTTTCATGCATGTGATGCATATTCTTTGCAAAGTGAAATTTCACGACATTCACTCTGGGAAAAATTGCCATGCATAAGGCAACTTCCATTGAAAAGTGAACAACCTATTCGCCTTTGGTAAATCAATACCAAAGTTTGAAATAAAGATACCTATAGACACTAAGGGGTTTATTTACTAAAGCTGGAGAGTGCAAAATCAGACTCACTTCTGCATAGAAACCAATCAGCTTCCAGGTTTCATTGCCAAAGCTTCATTGAACAAGCTGAGGTTAGAAGCTGATTGGTTTCTATGCAGAAGGGAGTCTGATTTTGGACTCTCCAGCTTTAGTAAATAAACCCCTAAATGACAGACACTCATGTATTTATTTATTTATTTTTATTTCAGGTACTTATATAGCGCCATCAATTTATGCAGCGCTTTACATATATATATATTGTACATTCACATCAGTCCCTAACCCTCAAGGGGCGTACAATCTAAGGTCCCTAACTTGCATTCATACATACACATACTGGGGCCAATTTAGACAGGAGCCAATTCACCTACCAGCATGTCTTTGGAGTGTGGGAGGAACCCAGAGGAAACCCACACAGGCACAGGGAGAACATGCAAACTCCAGGCAGGTGGTGTCATGGTTGGGATTCAAACCAGCGACCCTAGTACTGCCAGGTGGAAATGCTAACCATTTAGCCTCTATGATAGATCCAGCCACCAAATTTTAAAGATTGTTGAACAGATATCTATGTTTTTCATGTTTTAATCTATGTAGTCAGGAGGAGGAAAGTACTCTAGAGCTGATTTATTTTTGTAGGGGGGAAACAATTGCAAGAAAATTAATTCCAATCAATTTTTAATCCCCCTAAAGTACTTGTGCAGGTGTGGGATTTGTATGAACACATCTAAAGACAGGGTTGTTGCCTATGTAAATGTTTGCAACAGGATCAGGCCACTGATTTTTTTCTGCAGGTATAAAGGGTAACTATAAAAGGGTGGATTATTAAAGTGATGTGATATAAGCCTGTTTGCTTCAACATCCAAGCATGTGCAAGAGAAGTTCCTGTTATTTATTCATTTTTGAACAGGAAGTTCATGTTATTTTGAATTCCCCTACATATCATTTGATGTTTAAAGTGAACATAGGTTCATATCACTTTCTTTAAATTGTATGTATATCAGTTTACAAAAATCTCATGTAAGGATAAAAAAGTTAAGAGTGGTGGCATTTGATCAAAGATCAAACTCCCAAAATGTATCTATCATACTAGACCCTTTCCAATAAAGCAGGTCTCAGAGTCTAAGAAACTAATTGAAGAACCATGCCCTTGCCCCCTCCAAGTTATCTGCATCAGATCATTTTGATATGGCTACATGGGATTTATCCTGCAGCAGAGCTATGTATACTGTACATATGGAGAGTAGAGAGGTACACCTACTTGGTTGAAATCTAGATGCTAGGCTTGAGAGATATACTGTTTACATGAGTAACACACTGCTACAAGTGTTGACGCAGGATGTTAAAATGAACACAAGATGGCAGTGTCCCGAAGAACAGTGGCATTTCACACTCGTTAGAGCAGCCCCATGGAACTTGTATGCTGAACCGCAGGACTTTACTAAGGAGCAGCATAGTAAAGAACTATATTTCCCTAATTTGGCCTTCTCGTTTAATCCAGTGCATTTCTCCAAAATGGCAATATTTTTGGTCACATTTTCCATCATCCATATCTCTAATCAACGTTAAGCAATTTGTATACACTAGAGGCAGTCAGACAACCAGGCCCAATGTGACCCTAGGAAGTCATTTCTTATGAAAGATCTAAAAATATATATATATATATATATATATATATATATATATATATATGAAAATATTGCTGAGACAACTGTTCTTTCCCCAAAATTGTTGGCTTTTCTCAAGCCAAGCCCAGGAGCCCAAGGTCTTAAACAGACTGGGCCTGGCCAGAGTCACATGCGGCGGGAGCATCCAACCAGTTAGCTTCCCTATTTACCCAGGAAACCATAGAGGAGCATTGTTCCTCTTGACTTCCTCTCCCCCTGAAATTCCACTGCGGTTGAGCTCCACCTGCAGTGGAGAAAGTAGACTGCACCTGCCTACCAGCTTGTTAGGCCAGGGAGTATCTGCAGAAACCAATCTGATCTGGATCAGTTTAGGTTTATGGGTACTGTTAGTTTGGCCATAGATGGGCAGACCTTTCAGTGAGAAAAGAACAGCTGGAAAGATAGTTTCCCTCATATACAGTGTTGAATTATCCCAGGTTGATCTGTCTCTCCAACCCAGGATAAAAGGATGCAGATGCAGAACATATACAGTGAAAGGTTCTTACAGCTGCTGTGGATAACAATTTGATGTTTTACAGAGATTCCACATGTTGTAGAATTGTTCTCATTCTGTCATTAGTCTCTGCATGGCCCAAATGTTGCAAGAATACTCATGTCACAGCTGTTGTAATCTATATGTAGGGGGGCCAATATAGCCTACCTGTAATGCATCCAATTAGGACAGAGATTGCCATAAAATAGCCATCGGCATCCACAATGTTCCATACAGGAGACCATACTAGTGAACAGAAAATGTCTGAAGTTGTGGACTTCAGCAACCATTTTTTTGAAAGTCTGCACCTTTATTTAATGAGCACCTTCACTCCTCCTTGCTTTTTTGTAAATCCGACTTGCCTGTTATGCTGGGATGTGTGACATCTGATCTGATGTGACATCATCAAGAGCCTGGTTGATGCTTCAGGGTTCAGGCAGCTGGCCCCTGATAACAAGTCTCAACTCCACCACTCTATATCTCTGCTAATGTAGTCTCCTTGGATATATGATGGGGTAATCTCAGTAGGCTTCATAGAGGAGGAGATAGAGGAGCAGAGGAAAGAATGGCTGCTGGGAGGCAGGGCGGGTAAAAAATATGAAAATAAGGTAAGAAAACACAGAGATAAAATGTGGTTGGGGGGCTGTAATGATGCCTATTGTTTCTTTTGACTGAATCCCTGCTTTAAGGCAGTACTTCTTGGGACAAATTCCTACCTGCATTGTTCCTCGGTCTGGCACTATTGTCAGTGAAAGAAGTGGACAGTCATGTTTGGATAGACAAAACATGTCAGATATATACAGTATTAATTTAAAAGCATTATTAAAGGCATGTTAATTCAAATAATAAACATGTTAGCAACCTGCTCTATGCACCGGTATTGCGCAGTGTGGTCCCAAACCTGCTCTTCTGGGGTCCCCTGCCAGCTCTCGTCTGCTCCTCTTCTGTGTCTACCCCATATGGGAGCAGACATGCAAGCTTGCTCATGAACTGGGCTCTGTGTGCCCATAGACACACACAGTGTGTCTCAGCCCCTCCCCCCCACCTCCTCACGGGATTTGCCTCAATAACAGACTTAAGAGCTTTCCAACATGTAAAATAAATGGAGAAATTAAAAAGTGTGCATGTGTCTAATATGATATATAATTAGATATTTCCCTTTATCAGCACTAGAAAAAT